CTCTCTCTCTCTCTCACACACACACACACACACACACACACACCTGTAGAAACTAGCTTTAGGATGCAGGATGCTGATGGTGTATGCCTATAATCCCAGCACTCAGTGGAGACAGGAGGGTCAGGAACTCAAGGGCATCCTTAGCTGTATAGTCTGAAGACAACCTGAGCTATATGAAATCCAGTCTTAAAAAACAAAACAGCACTGGAGATGGTGCATTTGATAACATGCTCAATGCACAATAATGAGATCAGAGTTAGACTCCAGGCACTCACCTAAAATGCCAGGCATGGTGGTGAGCACTTGTAATCCCAATGTTTGTCAGTGGAGGCAGGAGGACTCCTGGGGCTTGCTACCCAGCTAGCATAGCCTATGTGTGAGTTCCAGGCCACTGAGAAACCTTGTCTCAAAGAACAAGGTGGACAGTGCATGAGAATGACTGTGATTGAGCTCTGGTCTCCAAGTGTAGGTTCACATTCCCATCAACACACGCACACACACTCTTGTGCGGAACAGCAAAGCAGGACTGTCTTCAGGAGCCTACCTTGAGTTCCTGCCCTGACTTCCTTTACTGATGGCCTGTGAGCTGGAAGTGTGAGACAAAGCAAAACCTCTCCTCCCTGAAGCTGCTTTTGGTCAGTGTTTCAGTGGAGCAACAGAAAGGAAACTAGGATAGTCTCCTTTAATTGAACATGGAATAAATTTAAGCTTGGATGGCTCAGTGTTGAATCTGTAGTTCAAGTATATGAATCCTTAAGTTTCCCATATCTGAGACCTTCTTCTCTTGGTCACTGTTTTCCCTTTCTATGCTCACTTCAACCTGTTTGATGGATTCATTTTATAAAAGGCCATAAAAGTTTTATGGAGCTCAAATACGGTATAAATAAGTAAAGAGAGGAGCGATGTCTCTGTTCCACTTAAACATCACACCTATATTTAGTTGGTGTCCTGTCTTGATGGCCGTTCTCTCAGTCCTGTTTCATACAGGTAATCAGACTCGGTTATAGTAAAGCTAACATTTATTCATTTATTCATTTATTTTATTGACCATGGACCTAAACACTGCAAAGGATATTTGACACATTGTCTTACTTTATCATATCAATAACCTCACAGGGCACTGCCAGATCAGCTGAACATGCCTGTAATTTCAGTACTTGAGAGGCTGGGGCAGAGGGCAAGGGAGCTCTAGCTCAGCCTTGGCTATACAGTGAGACTCCTTCAGAGAGTCATGGGTTGAGGGTGTGACTCAGAGGTAGAGGACCTACCTAGACTGGCCCAGAGAGAGGGCTGGGGTGTGGCTCAGAGGCAGAGGGTTTGCCTGGCTTCTCCAATGCAGAGTAAGGGGAAATGATTCCCCTTGCCTAGTTTGCAGAAGGCCTTGAGTTCCATGTGTTGTTGCATGTGATGCAAACAAAACAACCCACAAAGTCCCTTGTAAGTTAAGGTCACTTTATAGAAAAGGTAACAGGCTATGACAAAAGCAGATTGGATTTGGGTGTGCCTGACTCCAGCAACAGGACCCCATCCTAATTGTGACAAGCCCTGAAGGTAATAAAATGATAAAACTGAAATAGCACATGCTGTAGAACCTTTGCTTTTCTCTCTTTACTTGAAAGTCTACAGACAACTGTGCATTCCATATACTACAGTCTCATGCAAAAGTGAGGTAGTAAGATAAAAGTATGTTTTGTAGGTAATATTAAGTCAAGCTTAAAATATCTAAGTGGCTTTAGTTTTTTGAGACAGGGTTTCATGTAGCCAAGGATGACTTTGAATTCATCCTCCTGCCTCCACCTCCCCTTGCTGGGATGAGAGGTATGCCTTCTCACAGTATTTATGTCCTTCTGGGGTTGGAACAAGGCTTTTGTGTATGCTAAGCAAGCACTTTACCAGCTGGGCTCCCCCTCAGGATATGTATTTTGTCAGAAAGTGAAGACTTAAATCTCACTATGGTGGATTGCTTTGCAATCAGTTGGAAAGCTTGAAACTAAGTTTGAACTTAGTTTGGGCTACACTGTGAGTTCAATGTTAGCATTTGCTTACACAGGAAGACCTTTTACAAACATGTGCGTGCGTGCGCGCGCGCGCGCGCACACACACACACACACACACACACACACACACACACACACACACGAAAAAAGTAAAAAGCTAAACAATGAACTATGAATACCACCTATCTAAATACCTATCTAAACTCTGGAGTCTAAGCATTTTGAAAAAAAAAATGTCCACAGAGCCATGAAGGCATCCTGAGCTACCACTGACCAGGCCACTTTCAAGAGCCAGTTATCTATCTAACTGGCACTGATGACTGTGCCCACTGAGCCAGAACCCACCTTTTATATTTGGTACTGGAGTGGTTCACAGTACTGATATCCTTGGGTGTCTGCAAAGGCCAGTTTCAGGACCAATATCCACTGATAGTCCAATCCCTTTTATAAAATGGGATTTACCACTTGCATATAACATATACATATGCCCATGTAGATATATACTACTCATACATAACATGTGACCTCCTCCTCTAGACACATACTGCTTTTATGTAACAAATACATCCTACTGGAGGCATGTGCCACTTGCCTTCAGTGACATACACACATCTTCTTGTATGCTTTTAATAAGTTCTAGATCAGTTACACACTACATCATACAGTGCAGACAGTTCTTGTCCTCTATTTTTTGGGTAGTAACAATGAGGAAATTACCATTCATGTTCAGAAAAAGTATAATTTGTTTTTCAAATATTTTTGATTCATGGTTGGATTCATGAAATATGGATATGGAGGATTCACTGTGACTTTTAAATGATTTTTAAATATTTTTATTTGTGTGTGTGTGTGCATGTGCATACACCATGCATGTACGGAGGTCAGAGGACAACTCTGAGAGCTGGCTATCACCTTCAACCAGGTGGATTGAACCCAGGTCGTCAGACTTGGCAGCAAGTGCCTTTACCTGCTGAGCCAACCCCTGGCTGCTTATTTTTAAGTAGAAAAACCAGATGAAACAGGTGTAAAAAAGCAGACAGGGTTAGTAAAGGCTTTTAGTGTTTGGTTTTTACGTCCTAACAGGAGAAAGGAACTTAGCAGTGGCTACATGAAGGACAGGGGACAGGCCAATTCCTCCCTATTATCTATTCTTCCTTTTGGCCTAAACTGATTACATGTTTGTTAAAATCAACACAGAAATCCTCCAACTCCCCCCCTCCGTGTGTGTGTGTGTGTGTGTGTGTGTGTGTGTGTGTGTGTGTGTGTGTGTGTGTGTGTGTGTGTGTGTGTGTTGTACATGTACATGTGTGTGCGGGTGTATATGATGTGCAGGATGGAGGACAACCCTTGTAGTAGCTCGTCAGTTGCTAGCCATCTTGAACTTTTGAGACAGGGTCTCTGACTGGATATGAACTTGCCACGTAGGCTAGGCTGGAAGGCCTGTGAGCTCCAGGGACCCACCTGACTCAACTCCCCAGTGGTAGGGTTATAATTAGGTGCCACCAGAAAGGCTTTTTTTTTTTTCCTTCTTAAATGTGATCTCTGAATGGATTAACTCAGGTCCTCTTGTAAATACATTACTGACTGAGCTATCTCCCCAGTCCAAACCCTTCATTTTTTACCAGCTTTCACAAAACTTCTCCCTCATGTTCTGCTTGCCCCACCAAAGCTATATTTCAAGAAAAATAACCTTAAAAGGACATTTGAAGACTTAGCTTTAAGCATATCCAAAGGACATTAAAATAAATTTACTTTGGGCTTTGCCAGCCCAAATCAGGATGCTCATTACAATCATATCTCTATTAAGATGTTCACATGAACCAGGAAATAAATCAGGATATTGATGGTTTAAGTATTTTATTCACATTTCATGGGGGGGGGGACTCTCCAAATGGCTATATTTTCATTTAGTGCATAAGATATTTAACTTCCATTCATTTTCTGCCAGCCTTTCTTCCACTGATATATCTTTCTGGATTGATCCATGCTTATTATAGCTAGAGAACAAGAGCCACCTCCATCATGAACCTAGGCATGCACAGATCTTACACAATAGACTGTAAGAGCAGGCTCCAACTGTCTTTCCCATGACTTTTTCCCCTTGGGTTCTTTCTGGTCTAGATCACTTATGGAGATCCTGACTCCCCTAACTCCAAAGAAAACTAAAAGGAAAGTAAGGGTATAGCTCAGTGATGGAGTTCTGGCCTAGAATCTCCAGGTGAGGGGCCAGAGGAGTGGCTGAGTGGTAGATGTTTTCCTAACCGGTTTAAGGCCCAAAGTTAATCTCCTGTATCTGTAAATAAGTAAGAAGCCTGGATCAAGGTTTATAAGGATTAGGGTTGAAGTCTGTTATGTATGTAGACTGAGCAACCAAAACTCTGCTTCAGGAAGACTGCAACATACTGAGTATATCCAGGGAGCTAGGAATTGGGACTAAAACTGCTGTTGTTTTGCTGTTTGTTTTGTGTCTTTGCAGATATGTACCTGTTCCTGTGTGTGTACATGTGTGTGGAGAACAATCGTGGATGTCATTACACAGGAATTTTCTATGCTGTTTTTTTGAGACAGGCTCTCCTATTGGCCTAGTGGCTATCAAATTAGGCTCTGCTGGGCTGGTCAAAGATCCTCCTATCTCTGGGTCTCCAGCACTGGGATTACAAGTAAACACCACCACACTCAGCTTTTTACAGAGGTTCTGGGGATTGAATTCAGGTCTTTGTGTGTGCAAGGCGAACACTTTACTAGCTGAGCCATTCCCCCAGCTGTGGCTTTGTTTTCAAATTTCCCTCTTACCACTGTGGTCTGGAGTTCAATTTCCTCGATAACAGAACTGCACTTAATGACCCCCTTACATCCCTAGAGCTATGTAACTTCCAACCACCAATATATAACCCCATTTGTCTTTGCCATTTTAATCACAAAATTAATATAGGATCCAATGATATACAAATATTAGGTGGAACCAAATAGGATGGCCATTTCATATGGTTCAACTTAGCCTAGAGAATTTTAAGTAGACATATCCTTTCCCTGCCCACATATCACTCTGGCCCATATTAATAACTTATATTTGTACAGTGCTTTGAATGTTTAAGAGTGCTTTCATGTGCATTATTCATATGCAACAAGCACTTCCTGAGGGCCTGAAATGGGCTTGGACTTCCAGGAAAAATTCCCATTTAGGTTTGGGGCTATAACTCTGTGGCTGAGTACTCGCCTACCATGCATGAAGGCCCCTGGTGCCACAAAAGAAAAGAGAAGAAAAAGAAATGAAATCTCATTTAATTCTACAGCAACTGAGAACGGTGAATTACTCTGATCAATTTGGTGTCTTTCTCTATCCTCTGAAATCCTATTAAGTCCACAGCCACTCCCACCATCCTTTCTTTCTCCCTTCTTCCTGTTTGATTGAGATAGTACACTGTGGCCGTGTGTGTGTGTGTGTGTGTGTGTGTGTGTGTGTGTGTAGGTCAGACAGCAACTAGGCATCACCCACCTCACTTTTGAACAGTGTCTCTCACTGCCCAGAGCTTGAAGAGTTGGCTAAACTGGCTGGCTAGAGAGATGCCTGTGTCTCTGTCTCCAGCACTGGGACTACAATGGCATGTCACCATGCCTGGGTTCTGGGGATCAAACTCAGTCCTTGGGCTTGCAAGCACTTTACAGGCTGAGCCATCTCCCCAGCCCTCTAATCTCATATTTTTGAAGGGCAAAAGAGGTTGCTTCGGGCCTTCAACAGTCTCCCTGCTTGCTATACTGTGTCAGAAGCTGAAAACGTCAGGTTCTTCCGAAGTCCTGGTGGA